TGCAATTAGTATGTTTGTGTTATCTAACTGGTGAAGTTTCTGTTACAATTGCACTTCTGAGTGCATAAATAAATAAATAAATAAATAAATAAATATAAACAAACACACACACACAAGCACACACATAAACACACGCACGCGCACAGACACACTCACACACAAACACACACAAATACGGACACACAAACACACAAACACGGACACGCACACAAGCACACACACACACAAAAACACACAACCGCACACTCACAAACACACACACAAACAAACACACAAACACAGGCTCACACATAAACACAGGCACACACAAACAATTACACACACAGTAACACACGCCAAACTCACAAACACGGACACGCACGCAAGCACACACAGACACAAACACACACACAAAAACACTCATAAACACAGGCACACACACAAGTACACACAAACACTAAAACACACACACATAAACACAGGCTCACTCACAAGCACACACATAAGCCCAGGCACACACACAAACACACAAACAAATACACCTACAGAAACACACGCACACACACAAACACACAGCTACAATCACGCAGAAGCACACACAAAAACACACATACACACACATATACGCACACTTATGCACAGTACTCTTCACCCCTTTGAGTTCTTGCGATATTTGTCTGACCAGTTGGCCTACGCACGCTAGCGCGTGCTCTACGTACCCACTACCGCTAACATACGACTTTCTGGAGGTCTAATACAAAGAGTATCGGTAATTTCTTCCCATTTCATAAATATTTCTTCGCCGCACTCATGTGACACTCACACTCGTCGTCGTGCCTACGTGACTTTCGGATGTACGCACAAACGGGCATACAACCAACACACAAAGTTACCGCTTTATATATAGAGAGATTGCTTTCCATGTCTCCCTTGTGAATGCGATCCGAACTGCCTGCGCAATCGTCCTTTCCTGTGCCAAATGCCATCCATGTTCATATAATAATTAGGCGCTTTCTTCCATTGGGCTACTGACCTCCGCCGCACTGCATTAGGCTCACTGGTTTCTGCTGATCATATTCATGAAGGAACGGGTTGAGCTCTTAGACAGTTCATACGATATAACTCCGACGAAGCTCGCTAAATGATTGAATGGGACAACTGCAAAAATGTCGTGGTATTTCTAGTAAGTCGTCATTGAAACAAACATTACCATCTTATACATAATTTAAATTTACTCTTGAAAACAAGATAAACACTTATGCTAGCCCCGTATAGTTTCCTTAGAAGTATGATTTCAGGATCCAAGAACTGCACTGTTAATTGTTCAACTCCTCAGGAGGTATCAGTTGGAAAGGAATGTAAGCAACTTTTTTGAAGTCAATGAGTTCCAACTTCCACTATATATGACACGTTCGTGCAAAAACAAATTGAACCGAACATTCCTGGGAAAAACTCAATCTTTCAGGCTGAGCAAAAACAAGCCAGTCTGTCGGAAACCGATAAGGTAAAAGATGAGGTTTAAACGAAGAACAAAAAACTTTTACCTATGAAAAACATATTTTGTGGAAGATAGCTCCAACGTGCAGACTTTCTGTAAACCTGCATATATCCCAGACAAACACGCCGGATTCAGTGGAAAAGGAGCCACTGGAGCACGGCTATGGGGAGCCACTTCATCACTTCGACAAACAACCAAACGTCGTCGAAGAGGGACACCAGGTTAGTGAGATGTTTTGGCTCCCAAAGTGCAGCAGTCAATTGCGACGGGCTCCATCACATTCTTCACATTCTTCATTCATTCATCTTCATTTTGATTATCTTCTGCTTCATCTCTCTTCCTCTTTTTATTCCTAAAATATTTCTCTATCTTCTCCACATTCACCTTCCTCATCATCTACTTCTTCATACCCGTAGTCATCTTCATCCCAGTCATCATCATCCTCGTCATCGTCATGATCCAGGTCATCATCATCATCTCCGTCATCATCATCATCTCCGTCATCGCCATCATCTCCGTCATCATCATC